GCCCTGGCCGTTCCGGGGCTGCGGACGCCTCTGGCCCCGCGTCCGTGTCCGCGGCAGAGCCGCCGCCGTCCCGCGGGGCCCGCCCTGCGGAGGGGCCCGCATGCTGCCGCCATCCCGGTTCGTGCAGTGAATGCTCCCGGTGAAGCTGTGGATGGAGCTGCGATCCCGGTGCCCGCAGTGCCGTGTTCCCGGTGCCCCATGGAGCTGCAATCCCGGTGCCCTGCTGTGCCGTGTTCCCAATGCCCCATGGAGTTGAGATCCCGGTACCCGCAGTGCCGTGTTCCCAGTGCCCCACGGAGCTGCAATCCCGATGCCCGCTGTGCCGCGTTCCCGGTGCCCCGCAGTGTCGCGTTCCTGGTGCCCCATGGAGCTGCGATCCTGGTGTCTCTCAGTGCCATGATCCCAGTGCCCGTGGTGGATTCCCGGTGCCCGCGCTGAGCGTTCCTGCGCGTACCCTCACTCGTGGGCTTCCTTGCACTGGAGTGACGCTCGATGGTGCCCAGGTGGCCCGGGGCGGCCTCCTCCCCAGCTCCTCTGCCCCTGTCTGTGGCCCTCAGGCTGTGGGTGCCCCATGCATGTCCCTGGTGCCAGATTTGCCCTGCTAAGCCCTGCGGCGCTGCAGTGGCTTCGTGCTGAGCTGGGCCCTGCATCCCTGGTGCATCCCTGGCACGCCGTCGTGCTCCAGGGTGGGGAGCTGGTACCATCAGGATGTAAAAAGGGGCCACTTATTTTTAGAGATGTGTCGGAGGCTTCCTCCCCGCCGAGGGGACAAGTGGGACAGAAACTTGTGTGCCCTTGATCCGCCATCCCAAGGGCATGGGCCTAGCAGCCATCGGGGGCCACGTCCCTGCGGCCACCGCGCAGCAGTGGACGCCCATAGGGCTTGGCCTCGGCTCGTGCTGCTCCTCAGCCCATCTGCTGGGCCCCTTCGCCGCTGGCCTGCTCCACTGCGGGGCAGATGCAGCCCAGTGCTCGCTGTCCCCGGGCCAGCCCTCCCTGTCACCTGCCTCAGCCTGCGGTACCACTGTATCCGCTGCCCAGAACCAGCTGTTCCCCCTTTCCTTGGCAGGCCTGGCAGAAATGTGCTGCCCTGCTGCTAGAAAAGGGCACATAAGTGGTTGCTCTGCCTATGGCAGTGCCTACTGATTAGCCTGGCTTTAATCAAGAGTGTAAGCAGAGTAACTTATAAATGATGCAGAATCATTGGTGATTAATGCACTGGGCAGGGCTTAACTATGGCATGCTTATGCTCGCTTTTTTAGAGCCTGGTTGGGTACTGGAGGATCTTGGCTCTACAGGAATGCTTTTAATAGTTGGGTTTGCCCTATAATTTTTTTGGAGCCATTGCATTCACAGGTCTTTACAGCAAAGTTCTGGTAAAAGCCATCTTTGACCTCAGCTATAGAGCAGACTGGAGGACATTAGGCTTGGCTGAAGAATAATACACAAAGCTTTCTATGGCGCGAGCTGTGCTGTGCAGCTCTCGTCCTGATGGCTTCCAATGTGGCCTCATCTCGCACGTCCTTGGGGGTAAACCTTGCACCTGATTTCTAGGGTGAACTCTAGTTCCCGTTCCCACCATTAGACCTTTTCTGGTCTCTTTCTGCTAGCACATAGGATTTATGCGCTCAGAAATGTCTTTGTGTCTCTTGAAAGCAGACCAAGTAACACTGATGTTCCCTGTAAATTACTATAGCCAGGGTGCCTTCAGCTGTCGCCACGGCCACTCCAGGTGTGTGTGCCCGAAGCCTGCACGAAGCTTCGTGTTTACAACGTGCGAGGCCTGACCAGCTCTGCCCCGTGCTCTCGCCCTCATCCCTGTTGAGCTGGGACCTTTGGGGACTGTCTGTGGGTGTGAGAGCAAAGGCTGCTGGCTCCAGCTGTCCCCTTTGCAGCTTCCTCTCAGGGTGGTTCCTGCCTGGGCACACGGGTGCTGCCGGTGGGTAGAGGTCTGAGTGAAGGTCCTTACGTACAAGGGGCCTGTGGGGGCTATGGCTAAGTGCGGTCCCAGCAATGCTGCCAGCTCGGGGGCAGCAGCAGTGGCCCAGGGATTGGCGCTTTCTCGCTAATCAGGGAGTGACTCAGTCCCGAGCAGCCACATCTCAGCATCCCTGCATTGGAAAGTGGGGTGAACTGGGCTAAGCTCCCTGTGGAAACCCAGAAAATTCCTGTGCAGACCAGGAGTCTTCTGCTGGCTCCACCCGCTGACTTTCACACTGCGGAGATATCAGTCCCTAGTTTTAATCTTCCTAGGTTCACTTAAAGGTGTGGGAAGCCAAACCACCCACTTCGGACATGCTCAGACCCCTTTCCATTCTGTTGGATGTAAAAAGCTACTTAATTTATTAGTGTAGATGCATCCTGTGAAGCACCAAACCTTGTTCTTGGCCTGGGGCCAGCTGGCAAAGTGAAGCTACGTCCACAGCACTAAACTCTGGCCTGCCGGAGCGGGAGCGTCCGGGTGCTGCCCATGGGTGGCCTGTGCTGGCCCCTGCGCTGAGCCCGGGGCGGCTGGCCGAGAGCAGCCAGCAAAGCAGTCCAGGGATGTGTTAATCCAGCAGGGACCAGTGGTGGAGAGTACCACGGGAGCGCCATCAGTGCCATGTCCTTGCTGGCGCTGTCTCCAAGGTCAGCGTCTCCGCGTGGTGCTGCGGGGTCTGGCTGGGGACACACGTGGCCCTGCTGTCCCCAGGACCTTCCTCTTGGGCTCTCTGAGTGACCCTGAGTCACCCTCTTGGTGATCCTTGCAGATTGCAGTCCTACATCTTGCAGAGAGGGACTTTCAGCCTTTTCCCAGATGTATCCATTATGGAGCTGGATATACTCAAAGGAACACATTTTAACAGCTGACTTGCAGAAGTGTCCTTCCCCTGTCATTCTTATTTCTTTTTAGTTTGGTTTCTGTCTTCTTTTTTGCTGTTCTCCATTGCCCTCCAGGGCTCTTTGTCCCCAGGAGAGATCACAGCACGGAGCCTGTGCCCTGCTTGCAGCCTATCGAAGGACGTTGCCTTGTTTACGGAGGGCAAGGACACCAGGGTGGCAGCCTGTGTCCTCTGTGAGCTCCTGTGTCTAATTTTCAGTCAGAAGGCTTTGAGTGCCAGTCCAGGTGCCTGAGTTGGACCTGCCGTGGTCCTCATGAGCACTGCGTGAGCCTTGCGGTGACGCTGGCACAAACTGGGGCAACCAGGCCAGCTTCTCGCAGGACCAGAGCCCGCGGGCTGCCTGGTTGGGGAAGGGCACTGCCCCTGCTCCCCACGCGGGGCTTCCCTCCCTGCGCCAGCGCGCAGCGATGCCAGCAGGTGAGATGACCAGATTGAGCTGCAGGGTGTGTTTATTCCAAGCTGCCCCATTTTTCTGTCACAGTTGATATATAAATACTGTGTCTGTGCTGCTGCCTACGCAGTTCTGGGTGGTGTGCCAGGCATCTGTGATGTGCGCATCCACAGGGCAGACCAGAGCCTGGAGGAGCCTGATTTTATATCACAGCCTTGATTATAGAATTGCTTAAATACAGGTTTTGGGTGTTTTTTTTTTTTTTGTGGTTTTTGCCTCTATGGACCCTGCAAAGATGTGGGACTTGCCTGCCAAGAGGGGCTCCTGGCACCTGCCTGCGCTGAGCAGGCGCAGGTCGTGTCAGGCCACTCAGCTGCTGCTATTGCTGCGGCTGCATGCAGCAAACCTTCCGGCGGGCTAACGTCTGTGCAGAGCGTCCTGCTCGCCCGTGCAGGCTGCTCAGGCCTGCGAGCAGCTGCCCTCGCGGAGAGCGTGTGTGGATGTCATCCCACGCTCTGATGGCAGAGCTCTGCGCTGCTCCGGGACTGCCTGCGAGGGCTTTTCTCTTTCTGTTATGTGAACCACAGGGACTGGTTGAAGTGCCCTGACGCTCCCTTAAACCCGTTGCTGCTTTGCTGCTCAGCACAAGGCGCTGTGCATTTTCCGCTGCAGTCTGCAAGGTGGCAGGAGCCTGCAGGATGCCCCGTGCCCAGCACTGGCTCTGGCAGCCTGTGCTGCTGTGCATGCTCAGCCTTGCTGTGCAGAGCGTGTGACAGCCCCGGGCTGTGCTGGCTCCTGCCAGCAAGTGCCAAGCGGCCCTGCTGTGCCACGTCTCTCAGGGGACAGACCTGCCCCCACAGCTGCTCTTGTAGCCCTGGCAAACCTGCTGCTGTGGGCAGGGGTTGGGGGGCCTGCATGGTGGGGCGCAGGGGTAAGCGCATGCACTGAGAGATCTTCTTGCCTCTTTTCCCTGTGTCCTGTTTTGCTCCATCCCCGGCTCCCCCAGACAGGCCACCATCCCCTGTCAACGTGACTGTGACGCAGCTGAAGGCGAATTCTGCCACTGTCTCATGGGATGTCCCTGAAGGAGATGTGGTCATCGGCTATGCCATCTTACAGCAGGTATCTGAGCCCTGTCTCCATGGGCTGGGGAGTCCCTCAGTGATTGCTGGCAGCTCTCGTGTCTGCCCTGGCTTCTGCCACCGTGTGGAGCTCCTCAGGCACCCGCCTGAGACCTCTGCAAGGTTGGGCAGCCCTTGCCAGGATGCCCATCCGGGAAGCCTGTGCTGAGGTGACTGTCCTTGCAAGGCCTTCCTGGGATTTCCCTGCACAGGGCCAGACTCCAGCCTGGGTGCAGCCCTTCCTTGCCTACTTGTTCCACCTCCGCATTTCCCAGTAGGGAGTGCTTCTGCATGGAGATGCCTGGCTCCTAGGCACTGCAGGGACACTGCACAGCAAGGTCTGGCCACCCCAGGGACAGACGAGCCCCTGGGAAGTGAGAATCATGGGCAGTGTGTCCAGCAGAGCCCTGTAGACGGGGCCTGTGCCTGGTGCACAGGGGGACGGCTCCAGGAGCTGACAGCTCTTCGCTCTGGCAGCGGCAGGACGGGCAGATGCAGCGCTTCATCCGGGAGGTGAACACCACCAACAGGGCCTGCGTGCTGTGGGACCTGGCAGAAGATGCTGACTACATCATCCAGGTGCAGAGCATTGGCCTGTATGGGGAGAGCCAAGCCAGCAAGCGCGTGCACTTCCGGACGCTGAAGGAGACCGACCGGCTCCCCTCCAACAGCTCCAACCAAGGTGAGGCAGCTCCTGCCACCTCACCGAGTGCCACAGGGGCCCCATGCCTGGATATCTCCACAGGTGGGGCAGGGGTACAGCAGACTGCGAGGAAGGGGCTGCCCTGCGCAGCAGACTGCAGTGGTAGCAAGGCTGTATGGGTGCTGCTGTGTCCACTATGCTCATGATGTTGTCCCCAAAGCCTCACTTATCACCCTCCTATCTCAGTTCTTAGGAACTCGTCCAGCCTATTGTGCTGTAGCCAGCACCACCAAACTGTAGAAAGTCAGTATTGAATGGGCTCTCAGACCTACCATCCTGCAAGCTCCCGAAGGACAGACACCAGAGCCCCACCATTCCCTCTCTCCTTTGCATCCACGTTGTGTCTCTTGCCTCAGGGCCCCCAAGTGCTGATCACGAATCCAAGACAAACAATACCTAGACTGTGTCCATCTGGCCTGGGAGCCTGTTTCCAGCACTAACTGTAAGCCAGTGACTTGGGAACAGGGCGAGTGCATAGGATGCTTTCCACAATCTACTTTTCAACTCAGGGCCTCCCCAGCCTGCCTTAGTCCCTACCTATTGGGGAACCTCAGTGAGTTCCCTTTCCATGCATTGTGCAGTCCTCACTTGAACTGTCCCAGACTTTTGGGATCCCTGACACCCTGTGGCAGGGAGGAAGGTTTGTCTGACACATGTTAGCATCAGGCTGCACGTCCTGTCCCCAAGCATGGTGTCATGTTGAGCCTGCCCTTGTCTGTGGGTGTCCTCTGTCATCGGGGCACTTCTCACATCCTTAAGTACTGCCAGTCATGGGGCAGATCTTGGTGGGAGGGTAACTGCTGCCAGTCCTGCCGCCTGCTCTTCTCCACAGGTGACATCACTATGGAAGGGCTGGACAAGGACAGGCAGCTGCAGACAGGCGAGATTATCATCATTGTGGCTGTGCTGCTCATGTGGGCAGGTAAGCGTTACGAGCAGTGTCTCACAGATTGGTGCAGGGGCATGATGCACAGTCTGCAGAAGAAGGTGGGGCTCAGAAAGTCCAGAGAAATACAGATTCAGGCTTGGCATCCTCCTGGATGGAATGGAATGCAGCTTGAGCCAGTAGGATGTGAAGGAGACCTGCAGCCACTGCTGCACACAGTGACAGCTGGAGCATGCAGTCTGGTTGGCCTGGGGGCTCTGCTGGAAGAGCAAGAGACACTGTGGAGAACAGGCAATACAGAATTACAGGGCAGGAACACTACAGTTGGCATTAATGAGCGTGTAACTCGGACCTTAGTTCGACTGGTCGACGTTTTTGGTATCGTGGCTACTGGCTGGTAGCGGCTGTGCCAAAATCTACTTAAGCTGTCAGATGTGTGAGCTCCTCCTGCCCAGTACCCAGTTACAGCAGTGCTCTGGGAAGCAGCAACTTGTCCTGCTAGCCAGGAAGCTTGGGGATAGCCGGCAGCTCCTGACTGGTTACGTGCCAGCTTCTGCAAATGGGAAATCATTTTTCTCCTGCCCAGTAAATGAGGATTTCCCAGTGATATCTTGCAGAAAACTCTCCTTGTCTTGACCTTGAAAAACGTTTATAGTGCACTTAAGGAAACCACAAAATCCCAATGCAGATTGGTGTGTCAGAGTGCCTATGTGAGCAGTCAGATCCAGGCTGCAGGTGGCTGTCTTAACACACGTGTGGGTTGAGTGGGTCCAACATATCTAGTGTTGTTCAGAACATTGCTTTAGGGTCCCGAGTCAGGGTCACAAAGTGTGGAGCACACTGTATGCAAGACAGGCACTGTAAAACTGAGAGACCCAGTGGGCAGTTTGTAGGGCAGGATGAAGCCAAGCTGCCTTTCTTGAGAGCCCCGAGCACCAGGCTGCACTACTGGGGCTGTAAGTTTGGTGTCTTGCTAGAGACACTCAGAAACCTGCTCAGCACAGCCCAAGGGCTGTCCATCTGTGGGTGCCTCCACGTCCGCAAATTGGTTCGTGGACACTGAGCACCTCGCACGCGTCATGCACGACCTGATGGCAGCAGCCACCTCTGTTGACCAGCTCCTGGCCAAGGCCAGGACCTGCCTGCTTCCAGCTGGGACACCCCAGCAGGGAGGCAGGGACTGGCCCCCGAGGAGCCTTTCACCACCTTTCTGTCCGCAGCCGTCATCGCCCTCTTCTGCAGACAGTATGATATCATCAAGGACAACGACTCCAACAACAACAAGGAGAAGACGAAGCCGTCCTCAGAGCACAGCACGCCAGAGCGGCCCACGGGGGGGCTGCTGCGGAGCAAGGTGAGTGACGAGCGTTGGTGAGAGGGGCACCGTCTGCCGTGTCTGTGGGCTGGACAGGCTCAGGCCCACTCTAGAAACACAGAGGCTACAGCGTGTGCTCTTGCCCCCACATCCAAGGAGCGCAGTGAGCCCTGGCCTGACAAGGGCTCTGTGTGCCTGGTGGGTGGTTGCAGAAGCAGCTGCAGAAGGGAGGCCGGGACACCAGCTGGGATGGCTCCCATGTTGCAGGGTGGTTCTTATCCTCCCCGCAGCCGCCAGCACCTTGCCCTGGCATGAGGCTCCTCCAAGGCTGCACCTCTTCTGCATCTCTTGGGCAAGTCCAGCTTTGGCCTGTTGAGGCAGGAGGCAACCACGCTGGGCTTCTGTTCCTGTGGCTTCTGCATTGGTCAATCTCTGATGGCTTCCAACCTTCCCCAGGGCCTGTTCTAGCCAATCAACGTTCTTGGGAAGGACCTCAGAGCCTTCTCCCCACTGCAATGCAGTGACTGTGACAGGCTTTGGGAGGGGTGAGAGGGCCTCATTCATCTGTCTGTTCCCTTGGTACCATCTCTTCTCCCTTTGGTGCCTAACAAAGACAGTGATAAATACCCTAGTGCACATGCTGTAATGAGACCTTGCACTAGGCTTGTCCTTGCATCTCATCTGCCTCGTTTGTCGATGGTGCCAACTCCACCTTCCATGTTGCCCACCTCCTCCTCTGCTTTCATGTCTCCCTGGTTCCCAGCAGATGCTGGGGACATAAACTTGCTTGTGTGGATCTCAGCCCCCGCAGTACTCTCTCTTCTACCTTCTGCAGCTCCCCGATCGCTCCTTGCCCTCCTCTTGGACCCCTCCTCCAAACAGCCCTGCTTGTGCTGGTCTGTGAGGGCACGCCTGCTCACTAAAATCTGTACCGGCCCAGGGCTCTTGCAGCTCAGTGTGTCTCTTTACATTCATCAGATTCCTGGCATTCTTGCAGGTGACAGAGCTGCAAGTTTGTCCTTGCAGTCCTTGATTATAAAGCTGGAAAGAAGGCATAGCAAATAAAAAGCAGTTATATAATTATGCTCTGTATCCCCTTCCCCTAATAGGTTAAGGACAAAGCTGCTGCAAGACAGCAGACAATAATGCAGGTCTTGGGCTGAGCCCCCTTGCAGAGCAGGGCTGGGAGGACGCCTGCTTCCTGCACCTGCTCCAGTGGGTTTGGGCTGAGCTGCAGACGCGTGGCAGGCAGGACCCTTCCCTTCCCCACAGCTGCTCTGAGCTCACTCATCTGCTGTTTTCAGTGGATGAGGCCTTCTTCGTGTCAAGGGAGGCTCCTGTTGTGATGGTGTTTGAGAAACCCAGCTCGCTGCATGTGGCCTTTATCTTGCTTGGTGCACTCCAGAGCCCCCACAGGTTGCACCTGGTTTTTACTGTCCCTCCGCTCCTGTCATCTGACATTTCATGGGTTCTCTGCCCCAGGCCAGATGTCCTGCTGTCCCCCCCAGCCCGGTTGCTTTTTCTGCTCTGAGCTCTGCCCCTCTCTCCTGTCCAAGGTCATCACTTGTGGTACCGCACTGAGGTCTGCTGCAGCGAAGGCAAGGGGGGATGCCCGGGAGCCTGGGGGCGAGCAGGACTCCCTGGGCAGGGGGGTGCCATGGTGCATGGGCATCCCTGGGGTGGGCAGGGCGATGGGGCTGAGTTGCCTGACCCTGGGTGGGAGGGCAGGACCGTGCACAGGGCTCCATCTCCTGCTGCTCTGGGGCTGAGGATTTCTGCAGCAGCACCCGACGCTGCACAGGGCAGAGGGCCTGGCCGCAGCATGTGGACCCCTTGGGGAAGGGCTCTCCTGCCCTTGGTGCCTGCCAGTTTGGCAGGGGCTGCTGCAGCACCTGCATCCCAAGGGCTCAGCAAAGCAAGGCCTTAAAGCAGATTTTTTTCCCATAGAAGAAGTCCCCCTCTGTCAATATTATTGAGGTGTAAGTGCAGCACCAGCTTGGCATCTGGGGTCCCACCAGAGCCGAAAACAGGCCTGGGAAGAAGAGGCGGCAGTGGGCACCCAGCCTGGCATTCTGCATGCGAAGATCTGCGTATCAGAACTGACGCTTTCCCA